GCCTGGTAGTTTTCGGATAGAACGAAGTTCTGTACCTCACAACCAGACTAGGTCAAGTCCTAACGAGCTGTTTTGTGATAATTGCGTTTGATATAGATTCGAGCAGAAAATAGGATAGGTAACCCGAGCGATACGTATTTCTGCTGGTTGGCTTCATCAGGCTCTTGTTATGGACTTTTTTCCCACTCCATCTTCGTTTCCTCAGGTTTCACCCGTATCCGGATGCGTGGGCATGTGTATCTACTTTTGTAGTTTCATATGTGCATTCATTTCGGGCCTGATGAAGCCAACCAGCAGAAATACGTATCGCTCGGGTTACCTATCCTATTTTCTGCTCGAATCTACTTTTCTCCTTTTTGCGGATTTTGCCCATTATTTTCCTACTTTTTGTTATATACCTTTCTCCGCATGATTATTTTCTCTTTGTAGATCCTTTGGACTTGAAGTACCACAGCAAGGGGCTATAACCGGCCGCGTGGTTGTGCTTACATGTCTCCTTTAAAATTCGAGGTCTTCTAGCCATTTTAAACTAAAATGTGTAGGTTGGCGCTTGTTGTGGACTTCGTGTGGCGTTTTTTTTCCTCTCCATCTTCGTTTCCTTAAGTTACACCCGTATCCGGATGCATGGGCATGTGTATCTACTTTTGTAGTTTCATATGTGCATTCATTTCGGGCCTGATGAAGCCAACCAGCAGAAATACGTATCGCTCGGGTTACCTATCCTATTTTCTGCTCGATCCACTTTCCTCCTTTTTGCGGATTTTGCCCATTATTTTCCTACTTTTTATATATATATAACTTGAGACGTGGTCATTGTCGTCTAGACCAGTTAGGTGAAAAATTAAAGCTTCCGCCTTTTGTTGGGTACTTCGACAAAATTTAAGCAAAGAGGACTCTTTATATTTTTTTTAATTCTCTCTAGCTTTCAATGGACTTTGCCATCATCATCAGGAGCTGCAATTACAATGATAACAGTAGCAACAATAGTGTAAAATGAATTTAAATTGACTCAACTTACAGTAGTATGCGAGGATGTTGCTAATTGTTGTTTACGTATAGGATGAGGAAAACGTCCAGTAACATGGTGAGAGCTGGATAGATGGTACAATGGTCAAAATTATATAAAATATGACAAGAACACGTTAAAAACAGATTAAAAATTATTTAAAACATTAAAGCATTACATCGTGAAGCCACTTGATGATTGCACAAAATGGTGGTCATGGAATAATGAGTGAGATGAACCCTTTGACAGAAGGCCGAAGGTTGTCAGTGTCTGTGTAGAAAGATGGAACGAATTGTGGGCGTGTGCCAACGTTGCCAAATCACTTCGGATGATGTGATTTTCAGAATGTTATGTAAGAAATTGTTAAACCGACCAGAGGCAGTTGAATAAACTATATTTTAATTAATGGGAAATTAAATTAACAATTATTATTAAATCGTGAGAAGAGAATTATTAGAATTAGAGTGGAATGAAATTTACTGGTGGAATCGACCAAGATACAGATTCTATTTATGGTTGTGAAGAGTCAAAATTTGGGGAGATATGTAAGTTCTCCAATTTTTCGCAGTTTAGCAAATATGAGTAAATGACACTCAGTTGTTTAACATCTGTCTTTTTGTTGATACAGTTGTTATTCATGAAAATGTGAGACATTTCCAGGAACAAACGTTTGGAAAGGTGTTTTTCTTTATCAAGAACTTTGATACTTGTGTAATTCATAGAATGCCCTGTTGTGTTAACATGAGATGCTAGAGCGCATCTTTCAGGATGAAGCCTAGAATCACTTTTGTGTGATGTAATCCTTCCTTTAAGAGATCTGGAGGTCTGACCTATGTATATTTGGTTGCAGTTGTTGCAATTGATGGAGTAGACTGTGTTGGTTAAGCCAAGCAGCGGGACTTTGTCTTTCATTTTTGAAAAAATGCAGTTTATAGTGAGGACGGATTTACAAGCAATTCGAAAGTTCAAAGGACTGCACAATCTCATCAGCTTAAGGGTCATTCATTCATCTTTCTACACAGACATTGACAACCTTCGGTCTTCTGTCAAAGGGTTCATCTCACTCATTATTCCATGACCACCATTTTGTGCAATCATCAAGTGGCTTCACGATGTAATGCTTTAATGTTTTAAATAATTTTAAATCTGTTTTTAACGTGTTCTTGTCATATTTTATATAATTTTGACCATTGTACCGTCTATCCAGCTCTCACCATGTTACTGGACGTTTCCCTCATCCTATACGTAAACAACAATTAGCAACATCCTCACATACTACTGTAAGTTGAGTCAATTTAAATTCATTTTACACTATTGTTGCTACTGTTATCATTGTAATTGCAGCTCCTGATGATGATGGCAAAGTCCATTGAAAGCTAGAGAAAATTAAAAACAGTATCAAGAGTCCTCTTTGCTTAAATTTTGTCGAAGTACCCAACAAAAGGCGGAAGCTTTAATTTTTCACATATATATATATATATATATATAGTCTTACAAAACTCAAATTTAATGTTGGTGGAATAGGCCATTAGCACGTAATCTAATAATAGTAATTGAACAGTCTGAAACTATGACATGGATAACAACATTTTCTTCTAGCAAATTTGACCTTTGGTCTGACTAAATTTGAGCGAATGCGCCAGAAAATAAACGAACGTAGTTTCGGTTGCAGTTTCTGCCTAAACCGAAACTCGGATTTTGGACCGAAACTGGCCAAAACTGAAACCGAAAGTTCGGTCGGATACTAGTTAAAATATCTCCCTCTCCCTATGAAACATCATGTACAAAGCAACTAAGAAAGTGAACTTCAATCACCCTGTAACACAAAGTACATTCTCGGTACCACCGATCATAATTACTGGGTGTTCCGATTGCATAGTAACCTGACGGATAGGCAACCAACATAGCTGTTGACCGGATTTTAAGCGGAAAGCTCCGATTCCAGGGTTTTAAGTGATAAAGAAGATAGTATTTATTTAGAGAATATATCATTGTCAACTCACATGTACTTAAGTACCGTTATCGAATTCGTAAACGTACCGTTTAGAAATTTATATTATGTATTACTCTTCGAGCGAACCATTATGTTATTAAATGCGCTAAGCTAATGAGGTACCACGTGGTTTCATGATAATTACATTACCGACTAAAGTCAAGGATTTTTAGTATTGGAGTATCGAAGAAATAATAAATGGTTGCGGGCTTCCTATGTAATTCGCTGGTAAAATAATATTTTTTAATATCTTGACAGTGACTGGTGTTTAGTGATTTTGTTGTGTGTCTAGTGGTTTTGTTATGTTATTAAATAAAAGCCAAAATGGTAAGTTTTTACTTGCTGTTACATTTGCGCGTAGTTAATTGTTTGCAATTTGACGTCATATTGATACAGAGAAAGTACAGAACATTGGATTTATCCTTCTTAAATCCCTAATGCTTTTGAATCTAGCAGAATTTTTCTTTTTACCTAAAGCGTATCAAGTGTCATCATAGGGGATTTTGATACGGTTGCGCAACTTGAAACCAGCAATTTATCTTCGAATAACAACTGATAGCCATTTGGTTTTGTTTGTGTTTAGTTTACATACATATTTATATTATACGGACATAAAAATTATTTATGTTAGTTACTGCTAGTACTTTCACATTCAAGTGCGTTTAGTATATTCGTATACTCGACAAATCACAATTGAAACTTTGGGTTCCTTATGATTTTTTCTCTAAAGATCTTTAGTTGCTGAAGTGGTAATAAATGAGACGGGAAGAATGGCCATCTAATGTCACTAGAGATTTGTATGAAAAGTTCCGTATATGCTTGACAGATGCGCGCGTGACCCATCAGTCTCAAAAATTTTAATGATGACATTGAAATTACCTACAACTTGACGAAAAAAATTAACGAAATTGATGCAAAGGTTAAAAAGTTATTTAAAATTTAATTTGAACATACTTTTGTTTGTCCGGTTAATTTTGCAGTGTAGTTTTCAAACGAGGTTTTGAGCATTGAAGATGTCAATTTTCACGAGGTGATAAAACACGGAGAATAATAATAGTATAATATATAATAATTTATTACGGAGAAGTTATTAAGCTTGCTTCAAATTTAATCAACTTTATGTTACTTTTCTCGTCTACCGATGCTGTTATCCCAACGGTGAATGATTGGAAGCATTTCTGGAAGGCTTTTTTCAGAAGGTCCTTCAGCTGCTCTGTCATAGCTATTTCAATCTCGGGAATGGTGCCAAAACACTTACTTTTCAGCACGGTTTTTAAGCATCCCACAAACCGGCGCGAAATATTCGCTTTGGCTGCGAAAATTTCGCGGCGATGAATTCGCGATCAGATTAAAACGCGGCGGTTTACGGACAGGCTCAGACTTGTGCGAAGCGAATGCGATTGTTCCAGCGTTTTTATCGCGGCGTATTTCAGTTCGCGTTTAACCGCGTTTTTGACGCCGTTCTTCAAAAATTCGTAATGGCAAAAACGGAATTATTGATAGAAATAGTGAAAAAGTATCCTTGTTTGTATGATTTGTCGAATGATGAATACAGGAATGTGAGAAAGAAAGACAAGATTTGGATGGAAATAGGAAAAGAATTAAATACAAATGGTATGTACCTAATATTAAAAACTTGTTAAATAATGTACAGTCTACACAAATGTGAAAACGAACATTCTATATATTGGGCATAGGCATATCAGAATTAAAATAATTTACGAATTTGTCACGAGTAGAAAATGCTAGCCTTGCTGCCCGCCGAGGATCATTTGCTATATCAGTAAAAGCTCCAAGCACGGGTTCTGGGGAATCTAAGAATTGAAAATATTTGTCATCGCCACTTTTACTTAGTAAAAAATTGTGTAAAACACATGCCGCACGTACAATTAGAATAGTAGTATCTACTTTAGTTTCTAATGGCCTGTAAAATATTCGCCATTTTTGAGACAAAATACCAAACGCATTTTCCACGACCCTTCTAGCTCGACAAAGTCTTACATTGTATTTCTCTTTTCTGACGTCTGTTAAAGTCTGCTTATAAGGAAATGGTCTCATAAGGTATGGTTTTAAAGCAAATGCTTCATCACCAATTAAGACGTACGAGCAGATTTCATTTTGCCCAGGGAGAAATCTAGGTGCAGGGACACTCATTAAATTTTGTTCAAATCGTTTTCCCATGTTTGAGGTTTCGAAAATACCCCCATCACTATTTTTTCCGAAACCACCAATATCAACACATATAAATTTATAGTCCGGGCCAACAATGGCCATAAGTACTATTGAATATTCATGTAAATAGCACCAGTAATTGGAGCCACTGTTGTTAGGTCTCTTGATTGTTACATGTTTACCGTCCACGCTGCCAATGCAATTGGGAAATCCCCATCTACTTTCAAATTCTTCAGCACATTTTTTCCATATATTCTCTGTTGGTTCTGGTAAATATATATGCTCCATATGTCTGCATATCGCTTCACAGACTTCGGTTACGATTGCACTCACTGTTGTAAAGCCAACTCGAAAGCTATGCCCAATGGTATAGAAGGTGTCACCAGTGGCAAGGAATCTATAAAAAAAATCGTTTTTAGGTGATGAAGTAAAAAAAGGTGGAAGAATATCAGAGACACATTTGCAAAATATATAAAATCTACCAAACCAAATACCGGCCAAGCAGTGGGCAACATAAAAAAATGGCAGTGGGCTGACTACATGGAATTTTTCCGTCCTTTTTTGGCATTTGCCAAAACGTCGTCTAATGTGAAAGATATTGACGACATACATGAGATGATATGAGACTGCCGAATTTAACTCAAATATATATCAGGAAAGGGCTGGAAATGTAGAAACCGAAAATTTGGAAGACCGCGGCCATGGAGAAGATGAAAATGCTGATGTAGATGCAGAAGATGCACAGAACGCCTCGGCAACACAGACAGCACCACCTTCTTCATTGAACACTACAGCAGTGACTACTCCAGGGTACACCTTTCCGCAGATTGCAACTACACCAAAATATAAAACGAGCAGAAAACGCTATGAACCACCATCTTCGTCTGTACAACAGCTCATTAATTATTTTGAAGGTAAAAAACCTAAAAAAGAGAACGAGGCCATTGATTCACTTTTCTTGGCACATGCACAGACTGTGAAAACACTTCCCTTAAAGCGTCAAGCCCGAATAAAACTAAAAATAGCCGAATTAATAGCGCACGAAGAATTTGAACATATTGAAGAAATGTCTTCAGCGTCTACCCAGAATTCTGCAAGTATGTATGATAGTAGTATGTCGTCCTTCCCAAGCGGCACTGGGTTTACTCCAATAATATACCCAACAGAGGAGGCAAATTCTGCCTCGAATTACTTAGCAACATTTAATCCTAGTCCAATTATTACAATAAAATATTTATTTCACGATCCCTGAAGTTTTCGTATTCGATAAGCCTACTAATTTTAATACATATAATTTTTTTACCTGAGTGTAATAGCAAGTCGTTCTTCTGGCGAAATAGCTTCACGATAATATGTGTCAGATTTTCGTATTTCATCTTTCACCAAGTTCAATATTTCATCGAAACACTCTGGAGTCATTCTAAAATATACGTAAAAGCGCTGTTCATCCAGCCGAAGTTGTGGCATCAAGGTATGGTATTCCCCAAATTTATTTCGTTCCAAGTTAATATCATGTACCCACTTCCTTCGTTTCCTAAACAAAATTGAAAATATTTGTTTTATGTACTTCGTTAAACTTAATACATACCCAACTATCAAATGGCGTTAAATAAACATAACTTACCGTGCATTTTGTTCCTCTTCTAAAGCAAGAAATAGAAGTGCCTCCTCTTCTTCTGAAGACGAGCTCATTGCAAAAGGCAAAAATAAAATGTACGCAACCTGTCGAAACCTTCACGTTCGCGGAGCGAATAAGACGCTTTGGTATGAATAAACAGGCGAAACAGATTGCGAATTTCGCTCTGAATTTCGTTGCCATTACTTCGCCGCGATTATTTCGCGCCGGTTTGTGGGATGCTTTATTTTGGGAAGAGCCAAAAATCGCATCGATGTGTGGTACAGTACATTGTCATGATGAGGGAGGATACCGTTGACCCATTCTTCAAGTCTCTTTATCGTCTCGCAAACGTTTTAACAAGCTCTTGGAATATTAGGAGTTTACAGTAGTTCCTCGTGGAATGAACTCTGATCGCACTATACCCTCACTTTCACAAAACAAACAATAAGCATGGCATTAACGTTCGACTCTTAAGGGCCATATCGTCAGTCGTTCCTACAAATTGTCGGCCGCTTTTATGGCCTCCTTGATTTGCATAGTTTTTCCTAACCTTCAAAAGGCGGAGGTATTTTTAGATTTCTGCTGTTTCGTGTGAAACTTGAATTTTATCGTCTGTCAAAAAGAAAACATAACCTCACAACAGGAGAACGCTGACGCTGACACGGAACAGTAGAAACTCAAATACCCCAGCCTTCCTGAAGGAGAGAAAAGACTATGACTTATCTAGAATTGTTGGCAACTCTGCATCTTTTTTCAGGCTTACAGCCATACACCCAGCTTCCATTTACAGTTGTAATTTTGCAGGCTTTTCCTTCTCAAAATCACTTTATTGACGTTTCTGTCGTAACACTTACACAAGTTAGGAATATTTAAGTTTATACAAATATAGACTCACCACAAACACAAATTTAAAATAGAATTCTTAAAATATTCATCCACAGAGTGGACTGAGACCCAAATTTCTCAGACGGCTTTAGCTCAATGTGTATGAGGCTCATCACCGCGTTGCCGAGCAACGCTGATGTAACAATCTACCGCGTCGCCAATATGTTACTTTGTTCCTTGAATTACGCCAAATAACGGATATACAGGGTGGTCCATAAGTCCTTTGAAATTTCAAATTTGAATAAAATTTAACGGGTGAGCGTGAGCGGCGCGGGCGAGGTGGGGGCAGTATCTTCAGTGTCTGGGAATTCAGTCGCCATGGAGTGTTTCACTGGAGTGGATCGTGCTTTTTGTGTGCGCGCGTTTTATCAAAATAATGATTCGGCAACCATTGCGCGGCGTAAATATCGAGAATACCTTAATTTACACAATTTTACAAAGTGTCCAACAGCTCAAACGATTAAGAACTGGGTTGCTAAGTTCGAAGAGACTGGTTCGACGTTAGATAAACAGCGGTGGGGTCGACCAAGGACAACTCGTATTGAAGAAAACATCAACATTGTGGCACAGTCTGTTCATCAAAATCCTACCCAGTCTACTCGTAAGCGTTCCAGTGCACTAAACGTACCCAGAACATCTTTACAGCGGATTTTAAGGAAATATTTACGTCTGCACGCTTACAAAATTCAGTTAGTGCAGGAATTAAAAGATAATGACGCTATTCAGAGACTAAACTTTGCGAATGAAATGTTGAATCGATTTTCTTCGCTCAATAATGTGTTGTTCTCGGACGAGGCTCACTTCCATTTAAACGGGCATGTAAATAAACAAAATTGCCATTATTGGAGCCCCGAAAATCCAAGGCGTAAGCATCAGAAGCCCTTACACAGCCCTAAAGTTACAGTTTGGGCTGCTATGTCAGCGCATGGCATCGTAGGCCCTTATTTTTTTGAGGACGACAGAGGTCGCGCATTAACTGTTACTTCGGAGCGGTATGTAGCAATGATAGAAGAGTTTTTGACACCAGCGTTGCAGAATTTTCCAGGCTATAATACGCAGACCTGGTTTCAACAGGACGGAGCAACTGCCCACACCTCGAACACTTCTATGCCCGTCGTCTGTCAACTTTTTCCCAGCAAAGTAATTTCTCGAAGAGGAGACATTTCCTGGCCACCACGTAGTCCAGATTTGACCCCAATGGACTTCTTTTTATGGGGCTACCTCAAGAGTAAAGTGTACGACACCACTCCGCGATCAGTTGATGTCCTGAAAGAAAATATCCGAAGAGAAATGGCAAGCATTACAGTGTTGACTTGCCGCGCAGTCATCGACAATTTTAGACGTCGTTTATATGAGTGCCGTGATCGTAATGGATTGCATTTAGACGATGTGATTTTTAAAACATAATTCCCATTCAATAAAGATGATAACAAAATATAATAATTCTTCATAATGTAACTAGTTTGGTTTTAATCCTTTTTTTCCAGCTCAAAGGACTTATAGGCCACCCTGTATTTTGATGTATCTATACTTTTTTGGATACCCTGTATAGGCGGTCCCATCGGCCGACTGATATATCGGCAAACTAACGATGCTTGAGCTGTGTAGTATTTGAGTTAAGATGCCCACATAAAATCTTCTTGAATATGAGAAAATCGAAACACTATTTTTTCTACTATATCTGAGTGGTTTTTAATCACAGTATTGCATGATGCCGTTGCAGATTGCATATAATTTGAAAGCATAGTTTAATTACCGATAGTGTAACGAAAATTACTGTTTGCGGATGTTTGTCGTTTTTCACTTTGAACTTTAATTTTTAATAGAAAACCTACTCAAGTTTGAAAAATATGCTGCCTCTTGATGAAGCTATAAGAATAAAGATGAAGATAAAATAGGGACACTGAACGGAGATTTTTTTATCTTGTTATACTACCATACGGGACGTTTAAATCTTTACTTCCTAAGCCTTCTGGCGAAGAAGTATAGAAAAATTTAGAAAATGAGATATTCTTTTTTGGATGTCACAGGACATGTACATCACAAAAAACCTGTCACTCATTATGCTGTTTTTTGACATTATGTTGGTTTTTCCATGACACATGACAGCTGTTGTTCACTTCATGCCTACTTGTAGCAAGTGCGGAATAAACTATTTGCACACCACCATCTATCTAGTCAACATGTTGCATTTTATCGCTTTATTGGCATATTTGTAGTTTTTGAAAATTGGTCCAGTGGCGGAGGAAGAAAAGGCCTAAAACGAAAAAAAGTCTCTCAAACTTCGCTTTTTGGCGTTTCAGGAAAATAATGTCTATGCCCTAATTGTGTAGGCCCGTTTGACTGACTTCATCCGTGTAACGTCTCTGTTATTCATCTTCGTAACTAACTTTTTCAGAGGGTCTAACTTGTGCTGAACATAATCCTTTATGACTGATGATGGCGTTGGGTAGGAAGTGCAGAGTCAACCTACTCGACGCCATTTTTTCTTACAGGTTTTGCATCTCCAATAACAATATTATTCCATCACAGAAATTTCAGCTACAACATCTACTAAGTGACATATAAATCCGAACACCCAGTTTAAATGGTTTTATTTTAATAAAATTTTGTATAAGTACTTAATGAAGCATAATAAGTAAATGATAAAAATTTCAAAATGATTGCACTGCTTTAAAGCCCTTTGACCTTTAATAATGTGTGGATGTACCCTGATGTGCTACGCATTCTCCAACGCGCCTAGGCATGCTTCTGATCAGGTGGTCAATGTCCTCCTGTGGTATCT